TGTGTGTGTGTGTGTGTGTGTGTGTGTGTGTGTGTGTGTGTGTAAACACAAACAGTGGATTCCTGTGCCTAAAATAGGACTTTTTTTTTTTCTAATAGGTCTTGGTATCTTGATGGACAAATACTACTAATAATCATTTGTGTTGGCATTGTGTTCCCTCTTGCACTTCTTCCTAAAATAGGTAAGTCTTTAGAGAAGAGAACATTTTTTTGTTTGGAAGAGAGAGAAGATAATGTTAAGGGGTTTTTAAATTTCACAGTACTACATTTTTAGCAGAAGGGTGGTAGTGGTGAATAATTTTGAACTCGGACTTATTTTAGGTTGTTCAGCCTTCAGCCTTGCCTAGTTAGCCCATTACTTGGTTTGCAGTAGTATTTTGTCTGCCCTACTAAAATAAAATCTTTACAGCGGAACATTAAAGAGCAGCCTTTCCTTACAGTGTACCATTAGTGGTAAGCCTGTTCCAACTCTGCTGTACAGAGCTGCATAAATGATCTGTGACAGATAGTTGGAATGTTGTTATTCTCAGCCCTAAGCCCCAGATACCAAGCACTGTAATAGAAAACATGCCCAAGATGTATAGCTTTTGCTGTACGTTAGGAACACTTTCCTTATAAATTGCTTTTTATTTTACTGTTATTTTACAGGCTTTCTTGGCTACACAAGTAGTTTATCATTTTTCTTTATGGTGTTCTTTGCTGTTGTGGTAAGTTTGAAATAGAGTACATTGCTTATCTCCTCACTAAAATTGAACTTACTGTGTCAATGTCTTCTTTTTTCTTCAACTCTGTTTTCTGTTAGAGTTTTAGTTCATTGTGTTATTTAAAAAGCCCTTTAGGCCACAAAATTATTTCCTTTGTTGTATCTCTTTTGAAGAGGCTGAGCTAAAGCCACAGTTCAACTTCGGTATCTCTTTTGGTTCACTAGAGAGGAGAGCACACTGATTGTGTTAAAACCTAAGATGAAGTCTAGTTCTTTATGTAGGTGCATGTTTCAGTTTATTTCCATATAATGCTGTGTGTGTATGTGATTGAACTCTCCCTTGCTACTGAAAGATGAGTGAAAGGAAATGCTACCCAAATGAGCAACAACACAGTATACCAGTAGTTGAGCCATATTATAGAGCCATGGTTTCAAGCTATCACAACAATCTAGGAGGCATTTAATTTAGGTTAAACTGTCTTCTGGGATACGAGGATAAAACAACTTTGGATTATTTAAATGAAGAGGAAGTGACCCTGGTTTTAGTGTCCAGAAATAGTTATACTTCAGTGGATGCTCTTAAAACTAAAATACTCAAAAGCGTTTTCATTTAATCATTTGTTGAATTTATCAGCGTTAAAAATCATTGCCCTCCCTCCCTCAGATTGTCTGACTTGTATCTTAGAAGTAAATGAACTGAACACAGACTCTTTTCTCCCTCAGTTTAATTGAGATACAGTTGACATACAGCACTAAGCTGAAGGCGTACTGCATAAAGACCTGACTTACATATATAGCAAAATGATTACCACCACAAGTTTAGGTAACATCCATGAACATAGACTTCTTAGGCTCCGCACTGAAAAGGGAAACCACAGTTATTTTCACCATAAGTGGATTTTTTTTTGCAGTGGTACTTTATTAATTTTTTGAGTATAGTTGACAAAAAGTGTTACATTAGCTTCAGGTATACAGCATAGTGATTCCATAAGTTAATACATTATGCTATATTCACCACAAGTGTTAGTACCATCTGTCACCATTCAACACTATTATAATATCATTGACTATATTCCCTATGCTGTACCTTTTATTCCCCGTGACTTATTCATTGCTTAACTGGAAGCCTGTATCTCCCACGTCCCTTGACCCGTGTTGCCCATCCCCCTCCCCCCTCACCTCTGGCAACCCTCAGTTTGTTCTCCGTATGTATAGGTCTGATTCTACTTTCTGTTTATTCATTTGATTTTTTAGGTTCCACCTGTGTGAAATCATATGGTATTTGTCTTTTTCAGTCTGACTTATTTCACTTAGGAAACTACCGTCTAAATCTATCCATGTTGTTGCAAATGGCACTATCTCATCCTTTTTTGTTGCTGTGTGATATTTCATTATGTACACACACAACACCACATCTTCCTTATCCATTTGTCTATTTGAATATTTATGTTGCTCCCATATCTTGGCTATCGTAAATAGCTCTGCAGTAAACGTAGGGGTGCATATATCTTTTCGAATTAGTGCTTTTGTTTTCTTTGGGTAAATACCCAGTAGTGGAATATTGGGTCATATGGTATTTCTATTTTTAATTTTGGGGGGAACCTCCATACTGTTTTCCACAGTGGTTGTACCAATTTACGTTCCCTTCAGTGCCTGAGGGTTCTTTTTTCTCTACATCTTCGCCAACACTTGCTATGTATGTCCTGTCTTTTTGATTTTAGGCATTCTGATAGGTGTAAGGTGATATCTCACTGTGATTTTGATTTGCATTTCCCTGATGATTAGTGACGCTGAGCATCTTTTTGTGTGTCTATTGGCCATCTGTATGTCCTCTTTGGAAAAATTCAAGTCCTCTGTTCATTTTTTAAATGGATTATTTTTTTGGCATGAGTTGTATAAGTTATTTACGTATTTTTGATATTAACCCCTTACCACATATATCATTTGCTAATATCTTCTCCCATTCAGTTTGTTTTCTTGCTGGTTTACTTTGCTGTGCAAAAGCTTTTTATTTTGATGTAGTCCCAGTAGTTTATTTTTGCTTTCAGTTCCCTCGCCTTAAGAGACGTGTCTAGAAAAATGTTGACGTGGCTGATGTCAGAGAAATTACTGCCTATGTTCTCTTCCAGGAACTTTATGGTTTCAGGTCTCACATTTAATCCTAAGTAGAGATCTTTAATACATTTTGAGTTTGTTTTTCTATATGGTGTTAGAAAGTAGTCCACTATCATAATCTAATTGTTGAGAAGTATCTACAAGGTTAGGAATGACCTATGTATGCAAATGAACATATGGATGTGAAAGAGAATCAGTCTAGATAACATTGAATTTTTTCCTCACAGATAATTGGCAATCCAAGCATTGCATAGGTAAGAATAATTTGGTGTTTATAGCCGATAGCTTGAAGCATGTGAAATGTATTGATACAAGATGTCTATTGTAGTTTTCACAGTATTCATTTCTGGCAGGTACTCTTAAATTCGGTGCAGATTTCTTACTGTAGCAGTCATATGGAAATAATACCGTTTTTCTGCACTTATTCTAACGTTTTATAAACCATCTGCCCAGATTTTTACCTGTGAGCACAATTTAAATTTGATCTGCAATGAGACAATGAAGATACTGTACACCTTTTTTTAATGCTCCTTCTAAGTGTCATATTTATTTTAGACTTTCTAAATAATTAGGTTTTGAAATACTAGTGGTTAGGGAAAGGAAGCCTGTATATATTAGCTCAGATTTTTTTGAAGGGTGTCAATGATTTCATTTATTATTTTTGTCAATTTGTGTTTGTAAATCTATATAATATCTATATTACATTTTTCAAAAAAAAAATCAGCTCAGAAATCTGTTTCTTAAATTACACTGCCTAAATAATGTAGGTAAAGCTTGCAGTCTTTTTAAAAAAAATCTGATCAAAGCCAGCTTTAATTTTTTATCCTCACACTTAAAAGGTTATCTGATGGTTACCGTTTACCAATCCTAGCATTGGTTACTAGATAAGGAATCTTGAGGTAAATTTATCTTGTTTACCTAATGTTCAATTTCTGTCAGTTTATTTTTTTAATGTTTTATTTACTTTTGAGAGGGAGAGAGAGAGACAAAGCGCGAGTGGGGTAGGGGCAGAGAGAGAGGAGGACACAGAATCTGAAGCAGGCTCCAGGCTCAGAGCTGTCAGCACAGAGCCTGATGTGGGTCTCAAACCCACGAACCATGAGATCATGACCTAAGCCAAAGTCAGATGCTTAACCCACTGAGCTATGCAGGTGCCCCCAGTTTCTATCAGTTTTAATATACACTGGGTGTAAATAGCATTACTGACGATTTTGTATGAAATTCAGTCTCCTACACATCCCATGGAATCATGGGATAGAATCAGGAGACTCCACCTTCTATGTGAACCTCAGTGGTATTTTTATTTGTAAGAGAACCTTCTTACAACAGGTTTATTTAATTCTCCTAAAAGTGGTGGCATTCTTTTAAACAATTCTTTCAGAAGCAGCAGTTACATAAATGGAATATTGCATTAAACCTAAAAATGTTGGCCCTGGTTAACTTTATTATTCTGCATATGATCATGATAAAGGATAAGGATATTCTTCACATTTCCAAGCAAAATCCAATTTAAAAAGCTTATTCTTACCAAACCCCTAAAAACAGCCATTTGAGGGGAAACCAGCAGGGCGTTGTATCACCCCAGTGAAGTGTAGGTTTCATTACACGCACCTACAGACCCACGTGGCTACCTTCTGCATTCTACTTTTACAGAATTTATTTTACACCTATTATACCAAACAGCATTTTTTTTGTTTGTTTTTTTCAATATATGAAATTTATTGTCAAATTGGTTTCCATACAACACCCAGTGCTCATCCAAAAAGGTGCCCTCCTCAATACCCATCATCCAC